ACCTCATTCCCCAAATTGTGTTGATGGAATTATTTATTCTTCCAGCAAATATGTCAATAAATCACTGGTGCCACTGGTTTTCTTTTAGAAAACTGAATATAGTAAAGTTTTGCACAGCTTTAAGGAAATAAAATCTCTAGGGAATAAATACGTATATATCTATCTATATATATATAGATAGATATATAACTTATTTGCTGATGGCTAAAACAAACATATGATTTTTTTTTATAGATTACCAACACAGACTAGTCCAATTTACATCAAATTTTCAATTATGCATGATAATATAAAATCCTTTGAAATGCTAGAACTGGGTAATATTGGGCAATTTTCATTGATAGTAATCACTAGAGGGTTTTTTTAATAGCTTCAACAATTAATTCAGTTGATTAAGAAAATAATAAACAGGTTAATTGTGGTGAAAATACTATGATTTAGAGCCTTACATAACAGTGATGCATGTATTGTTCTCTGCTTTGTTTATGGAGACTTACTCTGTTTCAGGAGGGTGTGTTTGAAAAGTAATCGGGATCTCCATTGACCTGTTGCTCCTCATGGACACATAGCTGGGCTCAGGAGACTCTGCTCTCTGCTGCTGTTGATCTGGTCTTTAACATCACACACACGCACTTTTAATCTTCACTACAAAGATGACGGACCAAATATTGTCAAGCGAACAGATGATAAGCACAAACTTTTACTTTGTAGACAAATAAATATGGTTTCAACTTTAAATTTTGTTAATGCCACACAGATTGTGTATAAAGATGGACGACCGTTGCTCCCTGTTGGCCGGCTACAGTATAGGACGTAAACCCTGCCTCCTCCATGTTAGCAAATGGACCAAACTAAAAGATCAAAATACACATCAATTAATTTTTCTCAAAGATGTCCTGAGGTAGTTCTTATCCTTTAAATTAAATTTGGTTTTGGTCGAGTGCACATATCAGAGGGACCTTAATACCGCGGCTCGCTACCACACAGGATATTTTGGCGTCATTTCTCGGTAGGAGGAAGTGGAGACGTGTTGTCTATCTTTTTATTGACAGTTTACAGTTACTTACTCTGTTTCAGAAGAATGTTTTTGAAAAGTAAGGGGTGACTTCATTGACTCGTTGCTCTTCATGGACACACAGCTTGGGACGGGGGAGGCCGCTCGCTTCCTCTGCTGCCCTGAGCTTCAACACACCAGAGTTTTTTTACACTTAATAATCATGATACTGCAGAGAAGAGGATGGGAATGACAAATAGTATGTCAAGGGGTTGCCAAATACGGATATTTGGCAACTTCAAAATTTGATAGGGTAGTAGGGACAAGATGAGTGTGCTTTTAAAAAAAATCATTTTCATGTTATCAGGACTTCCCCTTCCAGTGAACGATTGACAAAAGATGAAAGACATTTTTTAAATCCATTATTAGAGTTGTTTTGTCATATCATAAAACCCCAGAAAAATGCATGAGTCACATTGAATTGTTCTACAAAAACACATGCTGCCTGGATAATTTGAGCCAAAGGTGGCCTGCCATGTTCACTAATTACCACAAAGGCCACTTGAGGTTCACATTGAGATTTAAACTTAGTTTAGAGCACCGCATTTGTTTCTGGATATTTGGACCAGTTTTGGCTCTACGTACATACATCTGCATGCTATCTGTGATGTGGTGCTCCTCACCTCTGAGCTTTGGTCCAGTCTTGTCCCGCACATGGAGAGGTTATAGAGAGGACAGTTCCCTCATCGACCCCTTCAGGCTGATCCATAATAAAGCTTAAACCTTTACAGATAGAACAAATAACACTGTGTTAGATGCTCACTTTGGTCGGCATCTCCTTCTCCTCCAAAGACAATATCTTTGGACCTTGAGGATGAAGAGGTCACAACAGCACCTGTGCAGCTGACTGCCCCTCAGCAGCCTGACTCACTGACCTCTGAGGAGGTGTGTCCTTCTCCTCCAGAAATCAATGTGTCATCAAAACTGGAGGATAGGAAGAGGAGACAACAGCTCCCGTCCAGCCTGGTAAGTCACATGTCTAAGTCCCTCACAGTCTCCTGGTGTTTATTGTTTCAGTCAAACTAGCAAAACATTTCTTTGTGGTTTCATTATATCATTTCATTATATCAGTAGTTAGATATTACTTGATTTCCATATTTCATTATGTCAGGATTTAAGTATTCTTGATTTCAATATATCATTATATCAGTATTTCTTTGTCAATAAGTCAATATTTTAGCATTGTATTCAAAATCTATTATTTATATTTATCGACACACACACACACACACACACATAGTATTCTCTTCAATTACTCAATCACTTTTGCTGATATTATTTTTCACTTATATGAAGCTGTTTTGAATGCAGGACAAAGTATAGACTTTATTATTATTATTAATTTACCATATAAATAAAAATAACTCTTCCACTGTTGGAAAGCTGCAACATCTTTTAAAACTTCCCAGACAACCCCCCCAACACACACAATAAAAAGAAGAGAAAAAGTTGGTCACTGTACCTTAGTCGGGGTGAAAACAGTCAACAGAAGTTAAATTAATCTCAAACTTTCCCCTGAGGATTCTGCCACAAAGGAGTCAAAGAGGAATGAGGTTCTGATAGTGTCCTCCTGTGGAACACATCACAGATCCACACAGACTGACAAACACTTCCCAAACTGCATGGACACACCCAGGTGTTGCAACTTCTGCTCCAGGCGGATAATGACAATTGAAGAAGGGAGGAAAGAAAGAAAGAGAGTGTCTTGGCCCTGAGTTCAGACTGCAGGCATCTTCCGAGGTGGTGTCCAAGGCAGAATGGTGTTTTATTACCTTTAGATTACATACACATGTCACAAATAAAGGTGTTTATAATAATCATCATGTTTGAAGTGAGATTTCTGAGTAAGATTAAGAGGAAGCTCTGCATGAAAGCATAACTGAGGGCAAAAAATACCCCTATTACAAAGGAGGAGCTGTGAAAACTAAGTTTCACTTTGACAATTGGAAAAAAAAACCACATGATGAAAGGATGTTGCACAAAACCTGAAGCAAAAAGGAATAAAACAAATGAGTAGTGTTTTAAAAAAGGTGTAATCTGCAGCATGGAATTGAGTACAATCAAATTCTGTATGTATAGACTCCCAATTTTTTTTTAAATATAAGGGGCAGGTGAACAACAGTGAATAACAGAACCTGCTTCTTTTCTAAAATGTCACAAATTTCCACATTAATTTCTGAAAATAATTCAGCTAAGAAACTATATTTGACAACCCAGCACCTCTCAGGTCCCTAGAGGATGGCCCCTCATCCTTTTGGTGACCCCTGACCTTTTTCCTCAAGGGTCCTGTCAGGTTAAAAATGTCCCTTCAAACACTTTACACTTTACTTATATATAACTTATATAAGATATGTTGACACCTACTCATCATTTTATTATTCTTGTTGTTAGGTTTTTCACATTTTGAGAGAATTGTAATTTTTAGAAATGAGATGATGCATTTTGGACTTTGAACCACTACTTCCCTAAGTCAATGATTCCTCTTTAACAACTGCACCCACATGAGAAAGGTTTCACTAGCCACAAAAATTATTCAAAAGCATATAAAATTGCAGTAGTTAACTTTTTAAATATTATTTGAGGGTAAATAATTTGGATTTTGATAAACAGTTAAACATATTTAGCATCGTTATCAACATAAATTCCATAGACAGACCAAAAAAGTACTATTAAGGACAAGAGATGGTATTCTGTTGATATACCAAACCTGAAAATGAATTTTACTGTTTTTTCTTAGGAAATTTGCATCAAATCCCTGACATCAATTCACAGCCAACATTGTTGCAATTCAAGATATAGATATCTTGAGCACTAACAACTCAACCCATGAGAAAACTAACAGCCATGGAGACGGCATCCAATGATCCTCAGAGAACAGGGCAGGACAATAACACGAATGTCTCATGACAGACGCAGTAGAGGTGGAGAAGTGAGATCCCCAATCTGCGTCAAGAGTCATGTTGCTTCTTGAATTCATTACTCCCACACAGATGTGATGCACACATTTTTGGATTGAGCTCAACTTTCACTTCTTGAGCACATCATTTCCCCCAATGTCAATCAAGAATCATGTCTGTAGATCTGCTTAGAAATCATAGTTTTAAAAAAAGACAATTTATAACTCTAGAACCTCACTGAGAATTGTCAAGTTTTTTAAGTGTACTTCAGTATCGAAGTAATTCATTTAAATTGTCTGTTTATTAATGAGTACAATACCAACTGGAACCGTTCATTCAGCTGTATGTAACTATAGAAACTGGTGTCAAGGTAATTTTACTTCCGGTTTACAGCATTTATATTGTGTTAATCTCATAAAGCTGGAGCATGATTAAATACGACAACAAAATAAAACGTAATTATATGTAATATAAAATTTAATTAGATAATCTCATATGATATAATATATATAGATACAGTTGTAATCTATAAGATAATACCACACAATTATACAAAATAAATGTTACATTACATAAAATATTTTTAAATGTTGAATCTTTTACATTACTGCACTTCAATACCTGTCTTTTTTGTGTATGTGACAAAAGGTCCACAAACAATAATAAAAATAATAATTTTCGGCCACATGATCTATCACCTGACTGATTATCAGCTCCAGTGAATTGTAGGAATTATATGAGTTTATGACCTAGAGGAGAGCCCATTGTGTTAATTTGTATATAGAGCATGCAATAAAAGCAAAATGAACCATTGAAAAGTTTTCCAGCAGAAGTGACATTTTGTGTCCACATGTCTCTTACTCAACATGACAAGAAACTGCAGTGAGGAAATACCACAGAGATGTTCCTCTTTGTCTAGAAAATGCCCCAATAAGTGCATATCTTGGTCACAATTCCTTGAAAAGAATAATTTATGTTAATTGTTATGTTTGTTAACAGGTGATGAGTCAGAGATCAACAAATGACAAGCCATCATCTGACAAGGTGAGTCACAGTTTCCACACAGATTTATTTATCGCTGAGAAACGTCGCTCGTGTAATAAAAAGACGACAGAGTGCAACCTGCAGGAGGTAATACACTGCGTTTTTTATGGCTCTGTTAGTACGTGACATTTCATTCAAGGCGCCAAAGAAGACTCCACTACACTCTCTGCAGTGCCTTAAGCAAAACAACGGATAAGCAACTAAACATTTATGGCTGAATCCTTTCCACATATCTGTACATTCATTTTTTTTTGCATGCACACAAACTTTATATCAGCGGGAAACTGTAATCTCAGGATTAAGACAAATATTTAAACATCTTTGTGCTGGATATATTTGGAAATGTTATTATTCTCAGTGAAAGCGTTCACATCACACGTTATAGCTGAGCTAGTAAAAAGAAAAGGCACAGTTTGTAAAAAATAAATATCCCTTTGTTATTGCTAAAAATACAATCTGACCACATCTTCCCATGTAAGACAGAAGCAAAGTGAAAAAGGTGATTACTCAAGTGCTGTTGGCTAACATCAGTGGGAAGGAGAAGAAATGAAACACATTGATTTAATGTACAATGTGTAGTTCGCTCTTGGAGGATGAAATGTGTTGATGACAGCAGCACTGTAAAATACTGTATACAACAGTAAATGTGGTATTTAAGACAGGAAGCCTTGTTGAGTTGTTTTTTCAGGTATTTAGTTGTAAATTGTATATCACTGCAGGAGCAACAAGGAAACATGATATCTATGTGTATTTCTTGTTCCACAGTTCTTTTGTGGTAGTTAAGACAGAATTTCTACAAATTATCACAGTGGTGTGTCCCTCTCTGACATATATGTGTATTTGCATTATGTCACAGTAACAAAGTATAAACACTTTTTAAGAAAAACACCAAATTGAAATTCCCAAATATCCTGGGTTTCTATCTATCAATTCAATAATTACTGTAACTTATGAACTATTTACAGGTGTCAACCAAAGTTTTTAAATTGTTTGGGGTCTGTTGAGATTCTGTCTATTGTAGCATTGGTGGCAAAACGAAAAGTAAGTCTTAAAATGTAAAATGATATAAATGAACTGAAGTGACTGACATCTTTGTTTAATTATTTAAAATTTCTATCGTAGCTTTAGAAAAACTGACTCTCTGACTAATATTTTTAAAGTAATACATAAGAGGCTCAAACTGGGGGAATCCAGAATGTGCTTCACACTGGAGCTACTTTCTACCAAAGTAATGGTCCGTATAAAAACAACATTGATCAGTGCGTGTTCCGTTCATTATCAAGAGTAACCAGGACGTTATTTCCAAAAAGAAAAGTGATTTTGGACAAAGCTTTGCTAGCACCGGGCTTAGTAATTTCAATTATATATCAGCGTAGGAGCTGACGAGTCACAAACACCAAAGAAAGGTCAACACACATTCGGCAAATCAGGTTCAGACTTCCACAGTGTGAGTTACTGTGTCTCCTGAGCTTAATTGTGGTTCAACATTGGGATAATCCTGTATAGCACCATATAAGAAGGGCTAACAAACAGAAACTAATCATTCATTAGAACAGAAAACATTATTTACAAAGCACCACATACTGTAGATAAAGGCGTGTGTGTGTGGACAAAAGCCTGGCTGATCACTTGTGGATTTCCCTTTGTCCAGTGTTGTGTGTATTTGTGTGTGTGTGTGTGAGTCTATCTCTTAGAGTGGCCGATGTAGCTGTTCTCGATGCACAGCACCACGTAGGAGCTGGAGCAGCTGCTGGAGCTCTGCTGGAGCAGATTGCCGCTCTGCAGCGACGATGCAATGCCGTTCAAAGCCACGTCGCCCACGCGCCACATCTCGCAGAAGCCGTCGGCGTGCTGCTGACCGGTGCTGGTCGACCCGTGCCACATCATCTTCTCTGGCCTGGGACAACGCAGGAAAGGCAGAGTGAGAAGAAAATATTTTTGTGAATGTTTTTTGGGGAGTTTTAGGTTATAATTTTGTTTTATGGTCATTTACTGTATGTTTTTCTTAATTTTTTTTGTTTTACTCACCATGTGTGGTCGCTGAGAACATTCTTGCCATCAAAGGAGTAGATCGGCACATTATCCCTCATTCGGCCATCATTGAAGATGGCATCCCAGTTGTCAAACAGAACCTCATCCTGAGAGAGATGAGACAAACGTTTGCTCAAACATCCGGTGACAATTAATCGTGTATTCTCTTTTGTCTGGAAGGAATAAATAAACATGTACCTTCAGGTTCACTATTGGCATGCGGTCCCTGTCTGCCCTGCGGACGATACTGTGGAGATCCTGGAGCCTGGCGGATAGGAAGGCCCGGAAAGTTCCCTTCATCCCGATTGCCTGAGCCTGGGTGAAGCACAGGTAGTCTGCGCCGCGGATCCCCCTCATAGAGCCGGTCTGGGGGCTGTTCAGGGCAATCAGGTGGAGCTGTGGAAATGCCCGGTAACATTGTAAAATTCTTCAGATGCTCTAGATGTGAGTGTGACTGTTAAAAAGTGGCCTCTCTCACCCCTGGACCTGAAGTGTGATGGTGGGCTGGGGTTTGGACCACAGAAGGAGGAGGTCTTCGCTGAGGGGTGACGGGGTAGCGACCGTCTGGGTACGCAGGGCGTTCGTGGGCAGTATGGACAGAATATCTACCATCTGGTTGGTTTTGTCGGTCTGTGTAACTTGGAAACCTTGGATCCGTCTGCACCGGGTACCGGGGATCTGGCTGATACCTTGGGTCAGGGCGGGTTGTGTATCTGGGGTCAGGCGCGTATTGAGGGTCTGTGTGCGTCGAATGGTGCCTGTCAGGCTGTGGGTGCCTTTCAGGCTGTGGGTGCCTGTCAGGCTGTGGGTGCCTTTCAGCGTGGCTATGGGAGTCGGTGTTGGAGTGGTGATCTGGGGAGTAGGGGACAACGGGTGGGGGCTCCACCGCTGCAACCTCATTACCCTGCAAATAATGTTCATTATATAAATTAAAACACAGAGTCCTATGATCTAGAGGAGGGAAAAAAGACAAATTACACTCACATCCTCTCTGGGCAAAGGTATGTAGCTCCCAAGCTGAAAAATAAAGGAGAAACCAAAATTATTTAAGTGTTTTTGTGTCATTCTGGCTGATTTATGGTCATGAATTAGATAAATGTTTACCTGGACTTGTCGAACTCCATCGCGGACCCGTAAGTAGAGATCCGTTTGCTCTAAAATGTAAACCAGCGAGCCCTCAGGTTGTCTTCGAGCAGTGGATGTCATGGACTCATAAGACCTCAACACCGTCACCTACAAACACACAAACATAAAGTAACTAAGTTGATTGTGTCTTTTGCTAATATTTTGTACAATTTTTGTATTTCATAATCAATAACAAGGAAGTAAAGCAGCAACATTTCACCGCATCTGAGATATTCTCACCCCAGACGAGTGTCCAGGTAGTCCAGGCACTCCAGGTGGTCCCGGTGGCCCAGGAATATTGATCGCTGTTATTGAAGACAGTCACATGTGAATGAATGAGACTAAACACTTGAGCTTAATCTGGAATATTTGGGTGTTTATGATTAGAACTCACTCTGTGTGCCCCTGTGGGTTTCAGATAGAGTAGGTCCTGGGGGTCCAGGTGGCCCTGGCGCTCCAGGACGCCCTTCATAGCCTCTTCCTGAGGGACCAGGTGGACCCTCAGGGCCCGGTGGGCCAACGATGGAGTCACCTTTAGGGCCCTGATTGGACAGGAACAGGGTCAGATTTCACATTATGTTACATGTAACAAGGAATCCAATATCACGTTTGAAATTTGTTCCAGGTGACAAGTAAATTTGGTTTTGTGGTCCACAGAAATAAAAGTGGCACAACTCCCTATGATATCTAATAATATTAGCTCTATACTGTAGATGTATAGATTATTGCATTATGTTTCTGATGATCGTACTGGAGGTCCAGGAACTCCTGGGGATCCGTATCCACCAGCTCCATAGCGGGGGTCATAATATCCTCCTCCTGGTTCTCCTTTCTCTCCTTTGAAGCCAGGATTGCCCAGGTCACCTTTTAACTCATTCTGCACACATCGTCAAGACACACAGACAAAAATCTTATTACGCAACTACTTAAACCATAATCTATGATCAAACAATCGTGATCATGTGGAAAAGTCTATGTTTGCTACATTTACCCTTAAAGTGTAAAGGTCATAGTTGGATCCGAGACCTGAATCAGAAAAAAAAAAAAATTCAAAACTAACCTAAAAGTGGAAAATATAATTTCTTAATAATCTTGCATATGGATAAAATGTACCTGGAATTTGAAGAAGCCCTGGTGGTCCACGATCACCTTTCTCGCCTTTAAAAGCTATACACAAAGATGAACAGCAGAAATAATTTTAGTACTTGGACATCTTTAGAGATGTATGCACTTGCTTTCTGGTTGAGGGTGTGATGAGGAGTTTGATATCGCTCTCTTGTCTGATGCTGGAGTCAGCAGATTGTTAGCGTAGCATAGTAATAATCTTTCTCTCTTGCTCACCTCATCACCTCAATTTCCTCTCTCCTTATTGAAACTATACTATCAGTCTTCTCATCCTCTAATTGTCAGAAAGAAAGTGATTTTCACACATGGCATCCACAACATGACCTGATCTCACCTGAGTGGTATCTGGAGTAATCCTCGATTCCCTGAGAGGAAACAACAAAGAAAAATAATTGGCAGATGTAAGTAACTTTATAAGATAAAAAGTAATTTGTTAATCTACCAATGTTAGTTTTCACCCAGTCATTTTTTTTAATAAGTAACAACAAATACTCCTTGTCAGGTTGAAATAAAAAACATTTATATATTTTTTTTGGATATTGAAATGACACCTCCCACCTTCGCACTCTAACAGGACGCACAACAGTTAAAACACAGGTGAATATTTTCACTCACTCCGAGTCTGTCAATGGGAGCTGGAGGTCCGGGGGGTCCAGGAGGGCCTGGTGCACCTGGAGGACCCTGGGACACAATGTGTATTGATTAATATATGTGCATTGATGGACGGACTAAAAAAAATGAAAACAAGCCCAAAATTAATGACTCACAGGGTGTCCATATCCAGATCCACTGCCTGAATCTCCCCTCTCGCCTTTGACGCCGTTCAGTCCAGGCCGCCCCTACACACAGCACATTTAAGTATGTGCTTGATCATACCATCTTAAAATGACTTGGTATGAAAATTAAAACGTACCGGTCGTCCTGGAAGCCCAATCTCTCCCTTCTGGCCTCCAGGACCATATGAGCCCTGAAGAAAAACACAATAATCATGTGTTTTATTATCATACTGATGCAATTCTGTTCGGATTATGTAGCAAAACATAAAAATATGGTACGCACTGGAGGTCCCACAGGGCCAGGGGGTCCCATCTCACCCTGTAAAGACAATACAAAGTTAACATTTTCAGGCTACAATCAATAAAACTGTCCTGTATGAATAAAAATAAAAATACAGAAAATGGGGTGTGCATCCTGAGGGGAGGTTTATCTTGTACGTCATTAAAGCATTGAGGTATTTACCGGCTGTCCTGCCAGGCCCCCCAGGTACATGGGTCTCCCATCGGGCCCCATGATGACGCCAGGCTCTCCTTTCTGTCCCTGAACGAAACATTTTAACAGAAAAGTTTACCACCATTAATTTACATTGCTCATACTTTGATGGATGCCAGAGCCTACAGGCACTTCAGAGTCACAGATGAACTGGATGAACCAGATGAACCGGATGGTCTTTGGACTGTAGGAGGAAACTAGAGCACCAGGAAGAAACCCACACAGGCACAAAGAGAACAGGTTTGAACCCAGAACCTTCTTACTGTGAGAGAACAGTGCTAACTACTGCACCGCTGTGCCACCCACTGGAAAAGACGTCCTCAAAAATAAAAATAAATATATATAC